GCCGTCCCTGGGGTGTTCAGTGCTCTTCTCCAACACCACAGCTCAAAGGCGTCAATTTTTTTCTCTTTTCTGTCATCGTTATTCATTGTCCAGGTCTCAAATGCATATCTAGTAATCAGAAAGACTATAGCCTGAATCAGACACACCTTAATCCTCACAATATACATGCACGAAATACCATGTGTGTGTTGTTGTTATGTGTCATTGAGGCGCCTATGTGTGTGACTCATGAATGGCAAAAATATGAAAATAAAAAATTTAAAACCATTAATTGTATCTTTAAAAATTTTACTTGTATGGACAGTACATGATCATTATGGGAAAAAAATTAGAGAATTCAGGTAAACAAGATGCAAATCCCTCTATGTAGAGAAAGACACTTTAAATATTCTGATAGGCCTTCCCCGCTTCTTCATTTATTTCCTCCTCTTATTCTCACTGCTTGAGGGAAAACGGGAGAAATCCGAGGCGAGTCAGGATAGCTGGTTACCCTCCTATAACCCTGTATCCATGTATCTGTGCCCACACCCTCTTCACACCAGTCCTCCGCCTTCCACTGCGATTTAACCTTGACCCTCATCACTTCCTCCAGTCTTACTTCCACCCCAGACAGTTCTAACTCTGAGCTTCTCTTCTTCAGATCCAATGGCTCCACCAAGACCTCCAAGGGCCGGTGAGCTGGGGCTGGTGGGGTGAGGGTACGGGAGACCCAGTACTAACTTAACTTTGCTGAGCCCATCAATCATTTCTTCCACTGCCCCCAGCCCTCTCAGGAAAGACAATGAAGAAGCCCTCACTTTCCTACAAGATCCGGAAGATGGCAGGTGAGGGCCTGGGGTGGAGACCTCCTGGCTGCCTGGGCTGAAGGCCTGCCCTTCGTGACCCCCATCTTTTATCTTTCTGACTCCTTCCAGGGCTGGAGGTCACCCCTGTCTCCACATGTCTTCAACTAGGTGAGCAGTTGAAAGCTCCTTTCAGAAACCTGAGAGAGGGCCTCATGGAGAGTATCTCAGCCCATTATACCCCCAGTTATGTAATTCTCATCAAAAAACAACGCTGAGAGACTTCTGAATTATTGAGTCTTTTAGCAAGTTGTGCATAAATCTCTCTGCCTTTCTCTCCCAGGTGCTAACCCGGAACCTTCTCCACCCCAGTCAACCCCAGCCGGTAAGTCCATGTCCCCCCTCACTGTGCCTGAGCTCCTCTCTCCACATCCAGGGTGTTAGAGTGAGACTTGGAGCTTCCACGGTGAGACATTCAGAAATTGCTTCCGCCTTAGACTGGTTTAGATCCCAGCATTCTAGAATCCCAGGGCTTGGACGAGAAGAGACATCTATGGTCACTGAGACGGACTAGGTGCTTTGGTGGTTCAAACTCCTGCTGGGATAAAAAGTTTGTGCAATGGTTGCTGCCGAGCTACAAAATCCACAAATTTCTTTGCACAGGGAGCAGCTCGGACAGGAGCTGATGGGTCATCCTTCACCAAGCAGCTGGATTAAAAAACAAACAAACAACCAAAACCCAACCTAAACCTGACAGTCTCTAGCTTTTAATTGATGAGACCATTTATGTTTAATGTAATAATTGATTACACTGGATTTAGGTCTCTGTCTTATTAATCCCCCACCCCCGTAGACCCCCTCTATTTCTATTCTGTTTCACAGTATCATTTGTTAGCAGATAATATATTCAGGAATGGGAAGAGCACTGCTGGCTCTTATTTGCAAAAAGGACTAAAACACTGACGTCATAAGGACTAGGATCTAATGAGGTAATAGAGATGCTTTGTCAGGGAGCTCTGGTGGCCTAGGGGTAAGAAGCTGCACTGTAATCTCAGAGGTATGCGGTTTGAATCTACCAGAGATGCTCTGCTGGAGAAGGAGGGGCAATCTCCTCCTGTACCAGTCAGATTTGATTTGATGGCACACACACACAAAATAATAAAATTATAAAAATAGAATAAAATTATTGAAGTTCCGTCAATGCTTAGGACCGCCTTGGTGTTAATTTTCCACGACATTCTCTTGACGACCCTGTCTGGGTGCTGTGGTCTTGATCACACGCCTGTGTCCTCCTCTTGTAGAAAGACTCGAGGCTTCTTCCCTTGTTCTTCAAAAAGCCCTGGTAGTAACTTTTCTGCCTCTTGCCCCTCCACAGCAGAGGCTAGCCCCCCAACAGCAAGCCCAGTGCCCTGGATCAGTCACAAGCTGGGGGGGCGTCCTGCGTGCTGCGGGGACCACAGACTGATGACGTGTCTGTATCTGCTGGTGGTGGTCTCGCTGCTCCTGGGGTGCCTTGGCCTGGCTGTTACCCTGATTAAGTGTGAGTAGGGTGACCACACGATGAGGGGGAGGCTGGTGTAGGGTGCCAGATGAACTCGGCTCAAACTGGACTGTTTGCTCATAGACCAGGTGGTGGTGGAAGAATTGAGGCTGTTAGCCTTCCAGCAGATGGCCTGGCAAGCAAATGGTGAGTGCTTCCGTCATTCCTTCACACTCTCTATACTGGGGATCTGCTGTGTGACAGGCACTGTGTCAGTCACTGGGGGTAGGATGGTGAACGTACCAGAAACTGCTTATCCCCTGTTCAGTGTGTCTGGGTGTGCACACATACGTGTGTCTACATCTGTAGTGTTTAATACGAGTGACTACTGAGCGCTTAGAGTGTATCCACTCTGAACTGAGATGTGTTAAGTATAAACTATACACCGATGACAAAGACATATGAAAAAAAGAATATAAATAAACCTCATTAACACATTTTCACATTTTAAAGATTGAAATGGCAATATTTGAATATATTAGATTCAGTAAACTCATGAGGGTAGGCAGCCTGGAGCTGGAGACCAGTTTGAAAGTCATCTGGGTCTACAGAAGCTGTTGGCTGGAATTGGTGAGCTGTAGGGTGGAATGTTGATTTGCTAAGGGAAGAGAGGCGATTGTGATAAGGCTTTTATTAAAAAACCCATGAGGGTAGGCGGCATGGCTACATTCTTCTAGGTGGTTCAGCACTGGTCTGTCCACTTGCTGTACAGAGGTAACTCGTGGTTGCTGTGATGCTAAACACTGTGACACTGAGGAGTCAAATGTGATAATGGTAACCTATGGTGGACAGTGGTGGTGCTCCCCAGTTAAAACAAGCTTGGAAGCAGGAGTGGCATTCACTTCCGAAATGACTTGCCTCCAAAAATTCTATGAACAGTGCTCAGGTCTTTCATTCATAGGGTCACTATGAGCCGTCTACAACTTGACGGCACTTAACAGCAACAACAAAACAACAACTACAACAAAATTATCAGAATAATTTCAGGTTTTTTTAAACTTTAAAATGTGATCATAATAATTAGATATGGGGTTCATATTTTTCTATTAATCAGTGCTGCTAGTCATTAATAGTCATTAATCAAAGTGCCACCCAAGGGATAGAAAATTCCAAATTTTGATGAATAGTCCAAAGGAAGAGGAACTTGGTCCTCTGAAATTGTGTGAAGTGGGGTCTTGACCTTCTCTTGGGAGACCGCAAAGAGCTTCGCTTGTGAAGGGGTACCACAGCTCAGCAGCAGAAGGGAGGGAGTTAATCAGGTGAGAGATTGAGCGTCTCAAGCGTGGGTGAAGGCCCTTTAGTGAGAGACTGGGTCACAGGCACAGGGGAGGAAAGTGGTGAAGTTGGCCAAGTGAGAGGGGCTGGTGACTTGGGGAGAGGTGTTGGTTGGGGAATAGAGGGAACCGGGTGGAGCAGGAAGAAGTTTAGGAGGCAGATCCGGCAGTACCTGAGTACGGGATGTGTGAGAGGTGTCAAAGAGAACTTGTTTGAACACTTGAAAGGCCATTGAGCTAGGGAATGTGGTAGGAGGGTCAAGTTTGTAGGGAAGGTTCACGCATTAATTAGAAAAGCTTCTTGGCTTGGTCTGGACTTGGCCATGGCTCCTGAAGCCTGGAAATGACTCCATTCCACGTGTCTCAGCTCCAACCTCGCATCAAGCCAGTCTCCTGCTCAGATCCCATCCATGACTCTTCAGTGACCAGTCAGAAAACCTTGTCTTGATGTTCAAGGATCCCGCCATGAGACCCAATTTTACTTGGAGCTCAAGCTTCTCTGGGGTTCGCCTCCATTCCTACTGCACCAGCCTTCCCCAACCTGCTTGCCCCTGGGCCTGTGTTCCTGAAGCGGTCCCTACCTGCTATGCCTTCCTTTCGTTGAAATAGCTACTGAATTTCATTTTTTTCTTCAAAGCCCACACCCTCCAGGAAACCCACTTGTCTTCATTTCAAGAATAACTCCCTTCTCTGAGGCCCTTCTAGCTCTGAGCACGTTTTTTTTTTTTTTTTTAGTTTTAGCTTCACACTCCGTGAGTATAGTCTGGCTTCACTCTGGTGTGTTTGCTATCTGCAGTGGGTCCGGGAAGGGGTTGGGAGCAGGTGAAGGCTCCCTAAATGTCAATCTCATCCCTGTTGACAGTGACTGGCGTGGCTGGGCTGGCTGGACTGAAGAAGGATATTGATCGCTTGAAAGCTGATACTGACCAGTCGCTGGTGGAACTTCGGGGCTTGTTAGGTGAGTGGAACTTCGGGAACTTCCCGGGGAGGCAGCAGGACACATTGCTTACAGCTGCGTGGAAGTCGTCCTCAGGGCACAGCGGTTAACAGTGCGCAATCCGGGCTACTGTACACGGCTGACATTTACATGCCCCCCACCCCCACCCCAGGGGTCAATCTGACAAAACTCTTCTCTCGTCTCCAGACTGTAACAGGGTCACCTGCCCTGAGGGCTGGCTCCCCTTCGAGGGCAAGTGCTATTATTTTTCCCCAAACACCAAACCGTGGGATGCAGCCCGGAAGTTCTGCCAGGAGAATTACTCCCACCTCGTTATCATCAGCAGCCCTGCTGAGCAGGTGAGTCGGGTCCCATTGCGTTTGTGTCAATGAACAAGGTCACAGTAAGGTGACTCTGCCGCTCTTCCAAGGTTCACACATCCGGCCCTGGATGGGGTGCCTTGGTGGCGCAGTGAGCTAAACACTGCAAGATCGCAGACCCACCAGCTGCTCTACAGGAGAAAGATGAAAAGGTCTTCTCTTGTAGACTTACCTTGAGAATCCTAGAGAGAAGCTTTATCCCACTAGATGGCATGGGTTTTGGGTGGGCTGTGAATGGAGAGAAATTAAAATTGCTCTTGAGCCACTGGGAATGCTAATATTTCTAATTGAGATAGCATCATACAGAGATTAAGAGGTTTTTTTCTGCTGGAGTTAAAATCCAGACTATGTTGCTATGTGTCCTGTCTCCATACATTTTCAACCTGTATGCAGAGCAGATTATCCGAGAGGCTGGGCTCTATGAGGAGAAGCGTGGCGTTAGGATTGGTGGACAATCTATCAACAATCTGCGTTATGCAGATGACACAACCCTGCTCGCTGAAACTGAGGAGGACCTCATGC